CCCTAACACATATTTCAGAAATCAGTCTATTTGACACCCACATCCATCACTGCTGAAAAATCAGAAAACACTCTGTTCATTTGGAATTTATTTTCCTTCATCTTCAGGACTTCCAAAAGGAACTAGAATAATGCTGGAGAAGGAATATGCTCATGGCCCAGGAGAAGACAGACTCATAAAGAACCAAGGGGGAATACCAGGCAGCCTGGCTCCAGCCACACACGTCAGCATCTCTCACAACCATATATTTTTAAAAGATGATGCCCAACCACTTTTCAACTTAGACTCCATCTCCTTTCCACACAAGATGCCTCAGAGAATAAGAGCAGATCTTAGGCAATTTGTGAGTGTGAGCTCTGTGTCCTCACCAGTTGATCTGCACTTACAACCTGCATAAGCCAAAAAAGGTACGTAGCAGCTAAAGGGATTAGTAACCCCTTGGATGCAAATAACCTTCCTGCACACGGAAGACAAACCAGTGAAGTTTTATAAAGTACACTCTTAATGGGGTTCCAGAGGACACACACTGTAGAAAAGGTGGAGCAAGCAAACAGCTCTGAGTTCACTTTTAGCCTGTAGTTCAAGAAAACTAAGCCTTGGATAACAAAAGCACACTAGCAATCTCGCCCACTCCACCCACCCACAAAGAGAAGTGAATTGCAATGCTCCTCCTAGTCTATCATTTCCACAGATTTTTCATAAAAAGGGCAATGAAGGAGACAATATTCTGATGCCTTGAGGTATGTTATAGTTGGCAATAAAAAGGTTAAGAAGCACAGCTTTCCCGGAAACTTTACAATCCCCTAACTGCTAATGCAATTCTCCTTCCTACCTGCACTATATGTTTTTTAAAATTCAGTAAGTTAAGGGTTAAGACCAGTACCTCAGAAAGAAAAGGAGAACTTGGTTCAGCCCCACCCTCTCTAAAGCAAATACCAACAACTCTGAGCCAAATCCACTCAGCATATGCAAGACTTCCCGGACTTTCCAAAAAACAGGTGAAAAGGAGTTATTTCCTGAGGTATCACACCTTTCAGCACCACGCACTTAGTAGATTTCACACATTCAGGAAGCACGCAAGTGTTATATAAAACAAAAACACATATAAAATTCTATTAGGGACTTGAAAAACATTAACAAGTCACAAAGGTCACTAT